AATAGAGGTGTTAGAGTGTACGATATAGTCACTGGTGAAATACCATGGTGAAAAACCTTTGAACAATGAATATACACTTAAATAATGAAGAACCAGAATATAAAACAGGTCCTGTTAGGGGAAGGGTACTAGTGGGAGTGGGAATGGAGAGGGCAAAGGAGGGTGAATATTGTCGATATACGTTGTGTACATGGTATGATGGTAGAACATTGAACATATCAAAATCATTTTAAGTAGAGGGGAAAGAAATGAGGGAGAATGATGGTGGAGATGAACCTAACCAAGATAAGCATATGTGGAAATGTCACACTGAAATCTCCTGTACAGCAATTATATGCTAATACAAATGTCTAAAAATAGTTTGTGAGACTATGTTAAATTTATAGATTAAGAGATTTGACATCTTTATGATGTTTACTCTTCCTATGCAAGAATATGGTATGCCTTTTTCAAGTGTTCTTTTGTGTCATTCATAAGTATTTTAAAGTTTTCTTTGTGTGAATTTTACACATTTCTCATATTAATTACTAGGTATTTTTATCTTGTTTTGAAGGTCATTATAATTCAATGTATTTTGTATTAAGTCTAACTGGCTGTTGTGAAAAACATTTTAATAATGTCCCCAGACAATTTACTGAATTTACTTAATATCTGTACCGGTTTTTCCGTTGATTATGTTGCAATTTCCAGGTATACAATTATGTTTGCAAAAAGTAATTTTACTTCCTCTTTCCATTGTTTGAGCTCTATTTTTGTTTAGTTGTGTTGCATGTTTATGTATGTATGTATATGTTCTTTTTTTTGTTTTCTCTTTTTCATTAATTTTTGCCTGTCATAATTCTTTCCTTCTGTTTTTGGTTTACTTGCTTTTTTCTCAAACTTCTTCAGTTGGATGGTAATTTTCTTCTGAGCACTGTTTTAGTTTTATCCCATTTAATCAGAATATGGAGAATTCTCTCTGTCTCTGTCTCCCTTCCTCCCCTTCCTTTTGCAGTGCTGGGGATGGAACCCATGTACTTCAACATGCTAAGCTAGTGCTCTACCACTGATCTACAGCCCTAGTCCTACATACTCCTCTCTCTCTTTTCTCTTCTCTTCTCTTTACTCTTCCTTTCTTTCTTCTGCTTTGAGACAGGGGCTATGTGGCCTCAAGCTTTCTGTCCTCCTGTCTTAGTTTCCGAAGTGCTAGTATTACAGGTATGAACACCTACACCTGGTTTTTAGTTGCATTTTCATGAGAATGTTTTCTATATTCTTTCTACTTTTTTGGGCTTGATTACAGTTTTTCTTTGTAGATTAATAGATAGTCAAGTCTTTTTGAAAGTTCACATTATAGTTTTACATTATCAAAGAAAACTTGAAGAAATATGCTATTAGTTCACTGTGTGTTCATGGAAATCACTAGTGGGGTGATTTCATCTAAACAAAGGCAAAAGTGGGATTGTTTTAGGAGTTTGGAAACTATGAATTTTATTTTCCTTGGGTGAGCTGGCAGCTAGCAAAGAGGCCAGTGGGGGCAATATGATTTTAGGTACTTAGATGGGCCAAACAAAGAAAACAGTTTAGTTGCCTAGGGACTCTTCACAAGACTAGTTAGCTGTTGGCATAGTGACAGGCTGTCTCCTATATCTGTCAGTGCCTTTTGTTATCTCTTCCATCTTTGTTATGCCAGGTCTGTACCACTTCCCTTCTTAGAATTTCTTGCTAGATGTCAATTAGGTCTACAAAAATGATATATTAAGATCTTTATGTCCTTATTTTTTAAATTATTGATCTGTCACAGACTAAGAGATGAATTAGTTTTATTTCTTCTTACATCCTCTATAGTTCTTGCTTAATATTGCTACTAAGATATATTTGATCCACAGCTGTTCATCACTGTTCATCTTTATGGTGAATTGTAATCTTTAGAGTTGTAGAGTGCTCTTTTTTGTCTGCTTTAACATATTTTGGTGAATTCAGCCTGTTTTAAGATCTTGATCTTTTTTTTTTTTTTTATTGTGCTGGGTGAGGGTACATTGTGGTATTTACAAAAAATCCTTACAATATATCAAATACATCATACTTGAATTCACTCCTTCCACCACTTGAGTTTTTCTCCCCATCTTTTTACTCATCCTTTCACCTTCAACCTTTCTATTTTATTTTAGGTCTTTTTTATACAACAAAGATTGAGTTTTGCTTTGTGATTAACTCTGAATTTTTTTTTTTTTCTGGTGGCACTGGGGTTTGAACTCAGGGCTTCATGCTTGCTAGGCAGGTGCTCTTACCGCTTCAATTACTCTACCGGCCCTTTCTCGAAATAGGCTCTCAGGAACTCTTTGCTTTGAAAGGGGATTCTCCTGATCTCTGCCTCCTGAGTAGCTAGAGTTACAGCCAGCTTTTTCTCTTAAGAGTTTAGTTTTCCTGACTTACATTTATTGATTTCATATGTTTGGACTTAGTTCTGCCATATTTCGTTAGACTTTTGTTAATTATGCCTTTTAAAAATAACTTCTTGTGGATAGTTTGTTTTCTGTATTCCTTTATTAGGAAGATTTGTATTTTTGTTCCCATTTATACCTTTATAATACCCCAATATACAATAGACTTTATTTAGCCAGTATCTTAATATTTTTAATTCATTTTTGTAATGGTAGAATTAGTGTATTTCCTTACTTGCCTTCTATTCCATCATCCAATTTTGTCAATTCTGTTATCTTAGTGTTTGCCTTTGTACTATTAAATATCCATGTACCTTCATTACTTAGTCATTATTGCAAAAAGCTTCCTGACTCACATCTTTTCTCACTAACTTACAATGGGTAATAGAACATTCTTCTTGATATCACTCATATTACATTGAATATTCTCAGAACTATCTCTTCCTTCCTCCCCTCCACCCGCACCCCAAATCTGCATTCTCTATTTTCTGGCTTTCAAAACTCTATAACCTGATCTCATCCTACCTACTCAACCCTACTGATCATAATACTGCCTGCCTCTGTCTAGTAGCCACAGACCATAGACTGTTTTTTTGTTTGTTTGTTTGAGTACCTAAAGTGTCAAGAACCTGTATTATACCAGGCTCCCTGTCTTACACAGGAGCACAGAATAAATAAGACAAAAGCTCTGCCATCAAGAAACATATTCATTTTATGAAGTACCTGACCAATAATACTCAAAACTGTCAAGGTCATCACAAAGAAAGTCTGAGAAACTGTCACAATCCAGAATTGCCTAAGAAGACCTAACTACTAAATGTGACATAATATCCTGGATAGGCAACTATGACAGAAAAAAGATATTAGTGTATGTATTAGTCAACTTTGTTGCTGTGACAAAATACCTGATAAACAACTGAAGAGGAAAAATGAATTTTTGTCTGTTTTGGTCCATGATCATTTGACTCCATTATTTTTTGGCCTGTGGTGGGCAGAGCATATGGTAGAGCAAAACTACTCACTTCATGGCAGCTGGGAAGCAAAGAGGAGGGAGCTAGGGTCCCAATACCTCATCAAGGGCACACCTCCAGTGACCTTTTTTCCTAAAGGTTCCACCACCTCTGAATAGCCCCATCAGCTAGGGACACACCTTTAACACATGACCTTTCAGGGACATTTAAGATGCAAACAGTAAAAGGGAAAGACTAAGAAAATATGAATAAAGAATGGATTTCTGTTAATAATAACCTATCAGTATTAGTTCATTGTGACAAACGTACCATACCAATGTTAAGATGAAAATAAGAGGGGAACCTGGGTGTGGGGCATGAAAACTTTCTGTATTATTTTAGTAATAATTTTGTAAATCTCAATCTGTTCTAAAATAAAAATGCTATTTAAAAAAGGAAAAAGGAACATATTCCTATTAGAAGAAAATTAGCAAGTGAACAAACACAAGACAGTGGCTCTTATCATTTTGAGTCACAGATCCCTTCAAGTAACTGACAAAATTTTATGGACACAGGAAATCTTTTATAAATTGCATACCATGTCATGGGTCCATGGACTCCAGATTTAAAATTCCTATAGGTCAGGGTGGTAATGGTTCTCTGTCAGTGTTTGGGGAGTTAATGTAAAACAGAAATGACAGTGGGGCCAGGCTAGGGTAGCAGTAGATATCCTTTCCATAGAAGCCTGAGCTTGGTGTTTACATGGTCAGTTGACAATACTTGTTGCTTAAAACTACCACCACTGCCGAATATTTCAGATTTAAAAATGGATGTTGAGAGATCCCTAAACCAACATAATATTAAATGGTGCTCCCTATTAGACTATTCTAATTGCTTCTAGTGTGCTAGTTGTATTTATCAAGCTACATGTAAACTGCTTGAGGTTAGAAATGCCAAGTCTTTTACAGTGGGCTTGAGCAGTTAACAACTTGTCACTTGAGAGTCCAGATCACAACAATGAAAAGCTACTTGACCTGGTTTAGAATGCCTGTTGCTCTTTCTCTTAAATCCAGCTGTAAAGAACACTATATATTAACCCCTTGAGGGTTACTATTAAACCCTGTGCTATGCCAGAGCAAGTGACAATATTTACAGGACTTATTAGGATGTATACATTTCTAACCCAAGTGTACAAAATGTGCTAAATTATACTTTTCAAACCAAATTCCATTTGCTAAGGTGTAAGTTGAATCAAATAGCAAATGATATTTACACTTAGGCGAACAGACCAGTACTGTTGGACCCTCTTCTCTCTCACATCCTTGATCATTTTGTGTCCCTACTTGTCTCAGAGAGCAGATCACAGTTTTTCTGAAGTTTGTATCATTGTTTAATAAATCCAATCTGCAATTGCTAACCTACAACTAATTTTAAGACCAAAAGGCAAAAGTGGTACTGTGAGCTTCAATGCTCAGGATGGAACACATAAAGAAAGGACAACTGTTTCCCACCACTGTGGCTTTTCTCCACATCTGGATGCCTCTCAGCAAATATAATAATGATATGGTTTGATGAAGCTACAAGTTACAAGTTTGTATTTAAAGCAAAAATACCAAGGCCACTTTAGTGAAAACTAGTTTTATTTTAAAATTAAGTGCATAGCACTCATCTAGTTCCATTGGTGTAGACTTTAGCACCATATGACTATTTGCAATTAATGTCATACACAGATACATTTTGGTTTGCAGTCTGTACTTGAGTAGTGTTTATTTAGTGGACTTTGGTGAAGCCCTTTATACATATCATTAATCTCTTCACAGTATACATATGGTCCAGTAATCTCAAGAAAAAAAAAAAACTTTAAAGACTAATCAATAAATTAAACAAAACAGAACCCACACGATACCCCCCTCCCCCAAAAGCTAACAGTTGTTGAGTTGTATTTATATTGAAACCTAATGTTTTAAAAATAGTTCTGGTTCTCCAGGTACCCGCCCTACCCTGGGTATGCAGCAATAGTAATCAATCATTTTATTTTACCCCCAAAAGATTAATCCAGTGTTATTTAGCTTTTAAAATATAAACTGGGGAAGTGTTAATAAGCTTTTAAAAAGGCATATTCTTCTATAACAAGAATGACATATAAACCAGTCAATAAAAGCATTTGACAAGACATTAAATTAGCACAGGCACTGGCTGTTGTTTCAAGTTAGGATCTCTATCCCAATATCTTACATTCATAGCATTACTGAGGTAGTTACAATATTGAAAACCAGACTCCAGGTTGCTGGGTTCTATTGTGTAAGATACATTATTTTTGAACCTACTTTCCTCCAACTAATTCAAATTTTCTTAAGGTTAAGAATTACTAAAATCCAATTAGCAGCTTTTTTTTCTTAAGAGGAAAAGTGATGGTACTTTTGGAAAACAATTTCATGTTTGAAAACTGCCATGAGTAAGTGTCCTTACCTGAGTGGGTTTTTTGTTTCATTTACCAGACTACTAAGTCCACATCATGACCTGTGTACTCAAAATATAAAAGTTAGTTTCCTTTTGAGGAAAGTACATTTCTCTAAGAATTCATGCTGGCAAAAGCTACCTACCACACTCATCCACTGGAGCCACCTGGGTCAGTCCATTACTGTGTTGAGCCCTTCCATTCCTAACAAAGGCCATTGGCTTGATTACTGAGCTCCTGCTGCATACCCACATCTTTGTAGTAAGTTTGTTTTCAATGCACATTGTGGCAGTCACAAATCTGCCATGCAGATTCCCTTCTATTCAAGTGCTAACTTAAAAAAACAAAAATAGACATACCTTACTAATTTTCAAACCAGGAATCTTCCCTCCACCGAATCTCTCTTCTCCCATGGATAAGAGCACAATGCAGTTTATCAGTTATTACATTTTTCTTTTTACTTTTAAGTCTATTCCCCCAAAACACTTTATGCCCAAGTTGCCCTTGCTATAATGAGTATTATTGCTCTTTTTACCCACTACTAGTACACTGAAATGTCCCAGGGCAATTGTAGGGCCCATCAAATGAAAGTGGCTATTGAAATTTTATAATCAGTACCCCCTGCCTTTTCAGACCAACTAGCTGGATTCCAAGGTTGCTTATAAAACTATCCCCCACATAAGAAAGTGCTGCACTAGCACAACCTGAGTACTACCATGGCCACCCTCACTCCACAAGAAACTTATGGAACTTTATTGTAGTACTGGTATATTTTAGTTATACCTTCCCTTGAAAAAAATTTTTAAGAGTAATATCAAATCTGACTATAAATCATTGATTGCACTGAGAAATGCAAAACCTACATATGTCTTATGAGTCACAGGAACCACCACTTCATTCATTCTGTGCTACAATATTATGTTCTTATTTGAAAACAAATCCTAGCAGGACTATTTCAACCTGTTATAAAGGTAGTTCACGCTGTAACACTCCCAAAGCATGTTGCATTACAGTTAAGTGTTTCCAAGTAGTACAAATTCCCTGAGTTAAATGTGTTTTAATTCTAAAGATTTGAGGTTAATCACTAAGGAGAAAAAACAGAACAAAACTTATGACCATGATTAAGAGATCCCCTCCATCCCTAATTTTAGTACATCAACCCAGAAACCTATATTACTTTGATAGGAAGTTACATAGAATTTTTTTTTTTAACTGCACAGATTGGTATAGTATAACAATTCATGAGTTCAAACTCAGAAACTCACATGTTAAGGTCAAAATGAAAACTCAAAACTGCTAAGAATAAAAAAGGATTTCTTCAAAAATTAATACTGCAACTTTCCTTCATAAAAAAACGGTTTGGCAAGTACACAGCTAAACATTAGTCTTTGACATATAAGCCAACACAAGGCCCAAAACCTACCACAGGTCAAATCTCAAAATAGCAAACTGGAGTCTGTCCAAATATTCTGCTGTACTGAGTATTTTGAAATATTTGGACCATCAGCCAGGGCTTGAACATTTTTGTCATAGAGAGATTTGTTGTAACAGGATTTGATGCACATAGTTAAAGTGTTTGCTTAGTCCTCCTAGGTATTCAGTCTTCTGGGTGCTGGAACCTGAAGAGTTCTGATGTTATTTGGATCCCTTTCCTTTTGAAGTTTCCAAAGCTTGCCCCAGAGCTGTAACAGTCTGGGTCAGTTATTACCTGAACACACAATCACCTTTCAAAGCATGGAGTAATACAAGGGTAATGTTCATTTATCTGGTAACTCCGGTTATAAGAGACACTCAGACAGGGTTTAACTTCTACTGGTATTGCCAGGGACATCCCAACGCCAGTCTGCACGTGCCCAAGGCCTTGAACACTAGTTTGGAAGCCAGCAGGACATGTCTGTAGTGTGTAAGATGAGGTGTGTGTGGTAGATACAATCTGCTGACAGCTTGGTTGTTCTGATACAGGATGGTGATACTGCAGCGAGGTCTGATGAGTCTGATGGATATACTGTGGTTGCTGAAAGTGAACTGGCCTTGAGGGTTGGGAGGCTGTCTGGAACACACCTACTTGTGCTGACTGAGGGCCTGCCTGTCCTCTCTGTTTGTTTGCTTCTTTCACATCATTATCATGAGCACTGAGACAGGGAGAAAAAGGAAACAATGTTACTTGACAAGAATCCCTAGGAAAACCCTATGCCTACCCTTCAACAGCACCACTACTTAGATAGTAACAGCTGCATCATAATTCAAACAGTGAGACCTCCCTTATCCTTCTGAAGCGATTTCTCTTGGTGTGAAACCTGCTGGCAGCTTTGAGGGTTCTTTTCAGCTTGGGAAATGAATCCACAATAAGCACTTAAGTGTAGGTGCCACTTCAGTTACATCATGATGTACTCTAAAATTCAAGGACGTAGGAAATGGGCAAGATTTATGTGGACTGATCCCAGAGTTGTGGATCTACAGACATACAAAAAGCAGCATCTTCCCTACCATGTTACCTAGACTCATACTGGCAACAGTAACTTCTAACTGGTTAAGAGCCAAAAGAAGCTCCCCCTACACATAGCACTACATAGCAGCTTGGTAATGGCAGCAAGTAGCTGCCAGGACTAAAAATCTAAGAGCTCTGGGCTTTCGAGAAGTCACTTTTAGGGTACCTTACAAATGAAGAAAAATGTTTAGAAATTACAAGAGCAAAAAGGCTTACATCAATAACCGTTCAATACACTGCACTAAGAAGTCCCAGGTGTAAGCAGTAAGACGATGTAATCTTGTAGGCCACGTTGGAGAAAGACGCAGTATAATCCTCGAAGAAGCCACACATGCAGCAGCTACTAAAGAAGGTGCATAATTTAGAAAGGCATAATCTGTGGAGACACCAAAAATGAACTTAAGGAACCGAACACACAATTCACAAGCACACAAGTCACTTAGCAGCATTCACAACAACTTACCTTGCAGAGACACTTCCAGGAAGTAATCTGCATATTTGGCCATGTAGAGTTTAGTTTTTTCCAAGCAAATCATTGGCCAGCCATCATGAAGATCTGTTTCATGTACTGCTTCAGAAAGATAATACTCAATGAAGTGGGCAGCTGTTGGAAGGCAGAGGTTCCACTGAAAGGTTTCTAGTAACAATAGCTCCATATGTAGCAAATTTTGTTTTGTTAACACTAGGTTCATATTAGTCATACAACCCAGGCTGTTGAGCTGCTCCAGCTTAGGCACACTATCTTCTTTTTCTTCAAATTTACCTTGTAAGGAAGGGGAGAAGGTAGAGAAAATGTTAGGCAAGTGATCATTAGAGGTGTAGTCAGTTAAATGGAATTTGTCTACTACCAGGATTTAGATCCAAAGACATTGTTTCCTTTATCCCTATGATTGCACCAGAATTCTCTTTGGTTCTCTATTTGCATAAGTTTTATTTTCCTGCATCACTGTCCCCATCCTCTGAAGAAAATATGCTTGGAACATTTGATCTGTGTCCTACTGTATACAGGAAATAGTCATATGTGCTAATGTGCAGTGGCTCACACCTACAATCCCAGGTACTCAGGAGGCCGAGATTGGGAAAATCACAGTTCAAGGTCAGCCCCAAGCATTAAGTTAGTTAGTCCCTATCTTAACCAATAAGTTGGGTGTGGTGGCACACACCTGTCATTCCAGCAACTCAGGAGGCAGGAGTGTCATGGACTAGGCCAGCCTGGACAAAAACACAACACCCTGTCTGAAAAATAGCTAAAGCAAAAAGGGACGGGAGCATGGCTCAAATGGCAGAGTGTCTGCCTGCAAGCCCCAGTTCAAACCTCAGTACCACCAAAACAAAAACAAAAAAGCCAGGCACTGGTCGCTCATGCCTGTAATTCTATCTACTTAGGAGGCTGAGACTGGAAGGATCAAGATTCAAGGCCAGCTGGGGCAAATAGTTCATGAGATCCCATCTCCAAAATAAACACAGCAAAATGGACTGGAGGTGTGGCTCAAGTGGTAGAACATCTGCTTTGCAAACATGAAGTCCTGAGTTCCAACCCCAGTCCCACCAAAATCAAAGAGTCTCTCTGCTTATTTTTCTCAGAACTTAATAACATAGTTTTATCAGAAATAAAGCTGGTTAAGCCCCTATTTCACCTTGGGCATATTTTCAGAATAACCTAATACAGAGGGAGAAAAGAAATTGGGGGCAGGAACTAAATGAATGTCTAACAAAAGCATTATCATTCCACAAAAAACTCCATCCCTCCTCTTCTGAATTCAAAACAGAAACTTGTGAAGTCTATCTTTTAAACAAAAGTAATGGAGACTTGGAGGATGGCTCAAGTGGTAGAGTGCTTACCCAAAAAGCACCTGAGTTCAAACCCCAGTACTGAAAAAAGAAAAAAGAGGGGGGGATTCTTTATTATCCTCTTTAAATACCTTTACCCAAAGCAGTACCCAAAGTAGACAGGAGTAAAGATGACACGTAGTTGGATTTCATTACTCAAAAGCTTTTAACTTCTTTTTAGGAAATACTCATCTACAGGTTTCAACTATGCACACCCTAAGGAAAATGATTACCTCTCCAACCCCAGAAAAATGTTTCTACAGGTTGAAATGAACAAATACTGCTCAGATGTTCCAAATGCAGCAAAAGAACCAGAGGTGTCTTCAAGTCTCTTTGGATCTTTGTTCCAAGATGGTTCATGGAAGAATAGAAATTATAACCAAGACTTCTACCTCTCAGTTTTGTGTTCTATTTTACATCAAGGTTTAAAAAGTCATGTTAAAATTACAGATTTTTCACACTAGATTTCACATTCATACTCATTCAAAAGTATTATTAGAATGTTATTTTAAAAAGTGTATTACCATATGCCAATTTGTTTCACTATTTTGATAACAATTTCAATATGTTTTCCTTGAAAATCTTGTAATTTAAATTTTATTCATCTAAAAACATTTTGGGGGGCCTGGGGTCATGGCTCAAGTGGTAAAGCGCCTGAATAGCAAGCGTGAGGCCCTGAGTTCAATCCCCGATACTGTCAAAATAAATAAACAAATAAAATTTTGGGGGGAGAGTAGCCACCAAGACCATCAAAGAAGGAGAAACAAGTTTTCCTGTGAGGTTGCTATTCTATAAGGGATGGGTTTGCACTATAGGTTAAAGCTGCTATAACAAATGATAGAGGCCAGAGTCACTCAGTGTAGATGGTCAATGTATATATAGGCAGTGGTACTATAACCAGTGAGGTGGGTCTGCTCACATTGGCCCATCTTGAGGTTCAGGAAAAAGTGCTGCTACCTGCCTACCCTTGGTCTTTGCTCAGAGACTGAAACTGTGGCAGGTTTTGTCTCTGATGCCAGGAGATCCTAAGCTCCTGTCTTGAGAAAAACTTAAGTCTAAAGAAGCAATAGAGACTATACCTGTTCCAGCTTTAGAGAGACTGTGAATTTCTTTAGCTCTAAACCACTTTTAAAATTTTGTTTTGTTTTGGTACTGGGTGGGGATTAAACCCAGGCCTTACACATGCTAGACAAGTGCTATACCTCTGAGTTACACCTCCAGCCCTTTTATTTATAGCCCTTCCCAATTCAAATCACATGAACATAAGTTTCCCAAGTTCTGCCAATAGCGTATACTTAGTATATGCCACTAAAGTAGTCTCCATGACATAGCTATCCAGCATCATCACTGAATAAGAGATTTGAGAGGAAACCATTGCTCTTGTGTAAGTGAAATTCTTCAGGAGAATGACCTAGGAATTTGGTTTAGTCCTTCTGAGTGAATAATTAAGGCTTTCAAAGCACCCTGCCATTTGTGGAGCAGCAGCAATACTAGCAGCATACTTCAAAGTCATATTGTAAAAATTAATGAGTATTTGTATCATGCTTGTAATTCCTTTGAAGAAATCTATCATAATTTACCATGATTCAAGGATCAGTATGTTTCACATTATCTCCTCGAAACTTTCAACATCAAAAGTAAAATTGTATATAATCAATTTCGCAGTTCAAGAAACCAATGTAATAAGGTTGACCAATTCAGTTAAAGTCAAGTAAGTTGACTTTAACTGAAAATGAAGATCAAAGGAAGATCTGAATTTCTTTTGCACTTGTAGAGCAAAGTACTGTTGATTTGTAAAGTTGAAAATAACTTGAATACTGCATAAACAACCACACTTGGGATTCTAATTCAGGTTTGTTTTTTGGAACTTTTCCCATATGTATAGTGATATGTACTCAGCTACATGGATAGAGGATTTCAAAAAATGTAACATCAGTGAGTACCTGCATTCATTATCTATATTTTTCATTGTGCTGAATGTTATTTGTATATCTAAAATCTACTCATCCATAATACCACAAACATCACAAAGATCATTTTCTTTAATTGAAAGGTAATACCAAAAACCATGTGATTATGTTGATAAAGGCCTCAAACAGGAACTAACAACACAGGAAATTTATATCTGCTTCCAAGAAAATAAAGAGTTGGAAGTCACAGAAACAAAACACCAGGTTGTCTTTCCTCTATAGGGAATGTTTAGGTCAGCCATGGAAACTAACACATTTCAAAGCCAGCAGTAAATGGTAGTATGCCATAGAGAAGACTTGTATACAGCACAGGACATGGATCTGTTGTCCCTGACCAATGCTAATTTTTTTTTATTACTAAAGTGGGAAAGTCATCCTTACTATATATTAAGAATCCTCACAAATTTCTAAGACCATCACTCTAACAGACAAATGGGTGAAGAACAGGAAAAGGTAATTCACAAAAGGAAAATCTAAACTCATTAAAATTATGATGTAGTAGTCACTTATAGCGTAATCCCAAGCTACTCAGAAGGTTGGAGACTGGAAGGATCTTGGTTCAAGGCCATTCCAGGAAAAAGTTAATGAGGCACCCCCCCACCCCCTGGCTTTTGAAAAATAACCAAACTATAAAAGCGCTGGGGTCCTGGCTCAAATGGTAGAATAGCTGCCTGGCAAGCTTGAGGCCCTGAGCTCAAACTCACCCCTCCCCAAATTAAGATGTAAATCAAATGAACTGTGAAATGGTATTTTTCACCTAACAGATAATAAAGTAAAAACTTTTGCTACCCAATACTGGTGAGCAAGGATAAACTAGCACATGTTACAAACTGTTGCACTTAAAGTCCATGATCACACTTTTGCTTTCATCTTGATTCCAAATCATTTCTTAGTTACACAAGACCTTAAGCATATTATCAGAAGTCTCTAAGACTGCTTCCAAACTCTAACTTTAATGCTAGTCACAGAAGCTAAGGAAAACCAGAGAAAGAGTTAGAATATGAGAATTTCCTTGAACAAATCTGGGTCCATTTTAGAATAGGCCAGAACCTTTAGGGGTAGGGAGTCAGGCTAAAGATTATAGAACAGTATATAGAGAAATTAATCATTGTAATGCTAAACTTTTTTAATGTTTCAATTTCCTATGTGCTTTTAAACATGTTGCCTCACTTGATCCTCACAACTTTGTAAGGCAAATGTCTATTTCCATGTTATAGAGAAATAGCCTAAGACTAGTGGGTTGTTGAAATTCATAATGTTGGTGACTCAAATCCAGGAAATCCATCACTAAAATCCCTGCTCTAAAACACTACACATTGCTCTCCAATCAGAGATAACGTATTGCCCTTTCTTCCTATCTCTAGCAGTGCTGACACCCAGGCAAATTAGGAAGTATTAGTCCCTGGAATTTAATTTGGCTCTGTCTTTGGCCAAATTATCTATAGCCTCCAACCTTTTATATAACTGTAATCCAATTGTCACCTGGTCCTATCAGCTATCTGCTATTTTTCATTTTCACCCTATAGGATGCTGATCCCAAAGCAGGGAGCAGATGGACAGTGTAAGAACAGAGTTCACTCCTTCTGCAAGGACAGAAGTAGTATTTGATAGCAGTATTTAAATAATGTTTATTATAACTAATTGGAGAGATGTCATTGGTATCCAAATGTAAGATGGAGTATAAGAATGTAAGAACTGCTAGAACAATTCCATGAATTTAAAATAGACACCAGACACTGAAAATAGTCTATTAGTTTATAATTATCATAAGCTTTTTAAATTTTTTTAACTGTAAAGTTAGACACTGGGATCTAAGAAACAGCTTCTTAAGATTCCTGACTCTAGTTTAGGGCTGACAGCTCCAACTCTTGACCACTGCTTACTTGGCAGGGCTGAGACATATACAACCCACTCTCCAGTGGAAAAGGAAGAATGTAAAAGCAATTATTTCTCAGGCAAAAGGGGGTCAAGGATGCCAGTAGAACAAAGGGGTACTAGCTCTTTCAGTAATAGGTAACAGTTCACATTTGAACCACAGCAGGTACAGATTCTAAAGGCGAGTTACTAGAAAATAATCTTTAAAAATCCCTAAGTATTACTATATAGATTAAGCCAATAATCTTCAATCAAATTGTGTGAATTGGAAATTATAGGAACTTAGCACCTGTGGCAAGTACTACATGGTGGCAAGATTCTTTTAAGAAGTAGTCTTGTTTTGTTGCCCAGCTTGTCTTGAATTCATGTGATCCACCTGCCTCAGTTTCCCAAGTAGCTGGGACTACAGACATGTGCCACCACACCAGGCACAAAATTCTTTTTAGCCAACTACAGTCCTTAGTGAACTTTAGCAGTGACATATAATTTGTGAGTAACTAGTTTAGTAAGACCTAACTCATTTAGTAAGTTATCAGTTAGTATACTTTAGTCACAAACAAGTTATTCTATGAATTGCATATGCATGGTTATTTCATAGACAACTAAGATGAGTCTCCCACTTGGCTCACACCATATTATGAGAACCACAGTCAGAGCTGGTGAAGACCTGATAATGGTAAAATGACAGTCACAGCAGACAAAAAAAACCTACTTTTCATTAATGATTCCAAGTTTTTGAAATAACCTAACTTGCATGTCTGATTGCCAGGGTCATAAGCTGATTCTATGCTAAACTTTTTTTTTTTTTTTTTTGGTGGGACTGGTGTTTGAACTCAAGGTTTCACACTTGCAAAGCAGGTGCTCTACTGCTTAAGCCACACCTCCAGTCCATTTTGCTGTGGTTATTTTGGAGATGGGAGTCTCATGAACCATTTGCCCAGGCTGGCTTTGAACCTCGATCCTCCTGATCTCAGCCTCTCAAGTGGTTACGATTATACACATGAGCCACCAGTGCCAGCAATAAACTAACAATAAAAAGCTATTAGTGGACAATAAAAAGTTATTGTGGATTCTCATACTTCTGACCTGTCAAGTATGGCTTTTTCCCATCTGTGTGAACAAACCCCAAAGGGCTTCATAGGCAGTGATGAAAAGTATACTATATTGTATACGTGATTACCTGTGAGCATCAGACTTTTAAGTTAAATTAAGCTGAGTGCCAATGGCTCACATCTGTAATCCTAGCTACTCAGGAGGCAGAGATCAGGCGGATCACAGTTCAAAGCCAGCACTGGTAAATAGTCTGACAGACCCTACCTCAAAAAAATCTATCACAAGAAAGGGTTGGTGGAGTGGCTCATGGTGTAGGCCCTGAGTTCAAGCCCCAGTACCACAAAAAAAAAAAAAAAAAAAAAACAAGTTCGATTAAAAGCTAATTATAAATAAGTATTACCACTCTGTCTTCTGGGTGGAGGAGGGAGAATAAGAGATATGGCTAATCTTCAAGGACTGTATTAAAGGGGAAATGCAGCTATTAAGGAATTAGGCAGCATTCTGTTATGAATTCAGTTCAAGGTGCACATGGTGAAACTGGAAAGGTGGCTAAGTCCAGACAAAAGATTCTAAATGCTACATTAATCAGATCCTTTTTTTTTTGCTGGTATTGGAGTTTGGATTCAGGGCTTCATGCTTGCCTTGCAGGCACTATACTACTTGAGCCATTCTGCTAGATCTATTTTGTGTTAGGTACTTTCAACAGGTACTTTTCAACAAATAGAAAACTATTTGCTGGGCTGGCTTTGAATAGCAATCTTCCTGATCTATGCCTTCTGAACAGCTAGAATTACAGATGTGAGCCAATGGTGCCTGGGAGCAGTTGTGTCTTGATGAATGGGAAGTCCTCACTGTGGTTACGTTTTATCTATATTCAGCCTAGTCCTATAAGGGATCTGAAATAATTTATAAACAGACATCCAAGGGGATAAAATAAAGAGTTCTATCATTAGCTCACAGGAAGAATAAAAGAAAATAAAATCTAAGAAGAGATTAGCACCAGAAATCATACTACATACAAGTGCATTTAGTTTTAGGTTTATTAGTGGCTAACAGCACAAAGGTGTTTAAGAAAGAACTCTAGTGGTATAGCACAGTGGGAATGTTCTTTAGACAGAAGCCATAATGAATGCTAACCCTTCAGTGGGAGTCAGAGGTACAGGTTGTTGATATGTCTACATACTACTTTCTGTTGTAATGACATGAATATAAAAAACCACATTATCAATTCAATTTCAGTATTAAATACAATCTTTTCACATGACCAAAAGAAGAAAAGCAGTTTCAATTCCTTTACTTGTTCTCTCTTTTCAATGTGGGTACTAGCAAGCCATGAAATGAGCTATAGAAAGATAGTAGTAGAAAGGCACCAAAGGTCTAACAGCACACAGACCTGTACTGGGTACCAAGTAAGTTTCTGTCAGATTTCATCTTGAAGCCTCCTACAGAGTTGATTTTCCTTATGCACAAGCAAAGGCTTTCAGATTTGTAGCAGTTGCATATGAACTTTTAGTTCATGGATCCAATCTATTATGTAGTCAATAGAAAGTGTTCTAACAAGTGTTCTAACAAGAGTATGGCTCCTTTAAGACAAGAGTTTTTCAGCTTTAGCTTCAGGTTTTGAGCAAGAGAGTTCTTTGTTCCAGGGACCTGTCCTTTGTGTTACAGGATGTTCAGCAGCATCCCAGGCCTCAAAAATGCACTAGACACTAGTAGCACAAGTACACTCCCACCACCCTACCCAGTTCGTGACTACCAAAAATGCCTCCATACATTAACAGAGTATCCCTTATGTGTCAAAATTGTTCCTGGTTGCAAATCACTGATTTGAAATAATGGCTCTCAATTGGAAAGGTACATTAAAATCACCTCTATAGTAGCCTAGAATTGTATTTATATCAGAATCTTCAGAATATAGTGCTTAGGCACATGTTTTTAAAAGATTCCAGAGCCATTTTTAAATGGCCAAGAAGTGCTTTCAATATAAACTTCAGGACAGTAATGAACTGGAATGGAGATCTGTTGATAATTCACCGAATTCTATGTAACTTTTACCTTCTCACATAACAGTATGACTAGAAATATCTAATCATATAGATCAGATTCATACTTACTTGCTAGAAGTAGACAGGAAAGTGCAACTAAATGTAGCTGCTGGATAGAGATATCATAGCGATCCATAAACAGGTCCAGCAAATAGACAGCAAGATGTCGGGCAGAAGGGCAGAGCGTGAAGCGATTGCTCACAATGGCAATCAAGTCAGCAAAATACCTCCTGAGACTTAGTTGAGGGGACTGGCCTTTGTAGGAGGGCAACTTCAGCTCCTAAATCAAGAGAAACAACATTCAGTCTAATATGATCTGTAGAAATATGCCCATAGTGCACAGACTTAATAACACCGTTTTCCCAATATATGAGTGTTACAAGTGCCCCAAACACATTTTTCTTGAAAGGCACACATAAATGAGAAAGTTGAATGGGAGGATAATGAAAGGCATTTAAAAGTTAGTCTAAAACTTTTCTCCTCATTCTTAAGTACCTCTGATGTGACCAGTTATAAGGGTTTCCTGCTTTATGGATGGATACATTTTACAAAGATATTAAATAGAATTATGCAACCTCACCCACCTCTTGGGAGCCCAAAGCTTTTGTTAGGAAGGTAACAGGGAAATGGATATGCTTCTAGTATGCTGCATACTTTATTATATATTTGCAGGGATGTAGAAACCTGTACTCATCATTAATTTCTTCTAATTTATTTACCCTTTTAGTGGTTCTGTGATCTTTCCTTTGCCATCATCCTTATACATACCTAAAAACTTTTCCATCAGTGTTAAATTTTGGAAGTACATTATAATAGCTCATTTTTTAAAAAATTGGAAAAATTCTATACTATTAAAAGATTTCAAGAGCACAGAGAAAGACAGAAAGCTTCCAAATTAATTTTGTAAGATCAGCATAACTGAAATAAAGTTCACCAAGTACCACAACAGAAGGAAGTAACATGAATTTGATACCAATACCAAAAGCACACACAAGCAAAAAAGGGAAAAAAGATAAAATGGACTTATTAAAAACTTAAAATTTTGTATACTAAAGGTCACTATCAACAGTGTAAGATGCAACCCACAAAATGAGAAAATATTTGCAATATATATATCCGATAAGGGATTTATATCCAAATTATTTTAAACAAAATTTTGGGTTTTTTTTTTTTTGCAGTGCTGGGGATTGAGCCCAGGGCCTTACGTATGCTAGTCAAGTACTCTACCACTGAACTACATTTCCAATCCTTTTTATATAATTTTCCAAATTATATAAAGAACTCCTACAATTGAACCATAACAAAACACACAACCTGATTTAAAAATGGACAAAGAACTTGAAATAGACAGTTCTTCAAAGAAGACATACAAATGACCAAAAGCACAGGAGAAGATGCGCAACATCATTAATCATTAAGGAAATGCAAATCCAAACCACTAAGACACTTCATGCCAATTCAGAGTGCTATTATCAAAATAAAAATCAAAACAAAACAACAAAAAATAAACAAACCAGAAAATAACAAGTGTTGGCAAGGATGCTGAGAAACTTGAATCCTTCTGTGGTAATCCTTCTAGTGTAATGTAAAATGGTACAACCGCTATGGAAAAAAAAAAAAAAGTATGGCAGTAACTCAAAAAAAATTAAATATAGAATTACCACATAATCCCAAAATTTCACACTTTGGTATATATTCCAAAGAACTGCAAGTTAAGACTTGAACAGATATTTGTACATCTGTGTTCAAAACACCATAATTAACAATAACCAAAAGGTGGAAACAACCTAAATGCCTGTTGGCAGATGAATGAATAAACACAATGTGATACACACACGAACACTATTCAGCCTTAAAAAGTAAATTCTAATATATGCTACAAGGATGAATCTTGGAGGATAGCATGCAAGGGTCATAAAAGAACGTTTACTGTATGATGTCACTTACATGAAGTATTTTAAATAGTTTAATTCACAGGAACAGAGAGTAGACTAGTAGTTACTGGGAACAGGTAGGCAGGAAATTGAGAAGTTACTGTTCAGTGGGTTCAGTTTTACTGTGGGAAAATGAGTAAGTTCTAAAGATGTATAGATGTTTATGGTGCCAAAACAATGTAAGTATCATTGAATTGTCACCTAAAAATGGTTATATATATTTTGAAATAATGAAACCAAAAGGATATCACAACACTCAATAGATCATCGATTATAGTACATCTCAGGAATTCAAGGAAAGCTAAGTATTAGGAGTCTGTTACTGTTAGTCACAATGAAAAATATACACAATCATCTTGGTAGACACCAAAACATCGGAAATAAAGGTGTCCCTGGTACAAAGAACACACACATACACATTTCTTTGATGGAGGGAGGAAGGGAGGAAAAGAGGGATAAAAGGAGGGAGAAGGGGAAAAAAGAGCTCAACTATTAAGAGCCAGAATCTCACTTGAAGGTGAAACAGTAGAAGGATTATCATTCTGGGTCCTACTATTGCACATTATTCTCTGAGTACTAACCAATTCATATAGAAAAAAGTAAAGGCATAATTACTGGAAAGGAAGAATCAAGTCATATTTCAGGAATAAAGTTATTTGTCAGATGGAAGAATTTGTATTCAGAAAACCAAGAAAATAACAGAAAAAGAGAAACAGAATTCGGTAGGATGGCTGACTGTAAAATTAATATTAATTTTTTTTTCTGCATGCTAGTAATCACTGAATAAATCAGAAGACTTCATATGCAGTAACTATAAAAATGAAAACATCTAAAAGCTAAGAATGTATGTTAACGGTAAAGTGCTTGCCTAGTGTGTGCAAGGCCTGCCCTGGGTTCAATTCCTAGCACTGTAAGAAACAAAATGAAAAATGAAACCCTCTAGAAATCAATTTATATATGCCAGCACTGTATGAAGATAAACCTGATAGGCTGTGGAAGATTTACATATATGGAAAAACACAGAATGTATATGATAACAACACATTTCAAATAAGGGGAGAATATATGCATTTAACATTTCTTTGACATATGACAAAGAACTAATTTCTCTGTTATTTAGAGAACGCTTACAAATCAGCAAGGATAACACAACATATGAACTGATAGCTCATAGGAAAAACATAGTAGGTCCAAAAAACACATAAAAAGATGCCAGGTCTCATTTAAATTTAAAGTATCATACAGCTTTCAATTACCAGATTAGATTTTTTATCAGTTTTTGCTTATGCTTTTGAGGGGGGAAACAGTAACTTTTACATAGTATTGATCAGATTGGAATTGATGTAATCTTTTGGAGAGTAATTAGGTGATACAGACACATTTTTTAAAATGCAGCTAACAACCCCATGGTCAGAAATTTACCCTACAAAAATGTAAGAAAGAAAGTCCTTTACAGCTGTTTGTAATAGTAGGTCTAACAATCGGAACATGGCTCTGGGGAACTATGCTAAGTAAAGTATTAATCCTAATGGTCACATACTGTATGACCCTGTTTATGTAACATTCTTGAAATGACAAAATTATAGAATAAATAACGGGGTAATGGTTGCTGGAAGTTGAGAGACAGCAAGAAGGTAGGAGGGGAGAGAGTGTGACTGTTTATAAAAGGGCAACATGGGAGACCTTTATATTGACTGTGTCAGAGAAATATTCTGGTTGTGACAGTGTACGATAGTCTTTGAAGATGGTACCACTGGAGGCAGCTGGGTAAAAAAAGGTTTAAGGATCTCCCTGTGTCATTTTTTATAACTGCATCTGAATTTACCATAATCTCAAAGTAAGTTTAATTAAAAGAAAAGCTTAGTATCTATCAACAGGGGTTAAATAAATTATGAGATATCAACATGTCATTTAAAATAAAGGATAGAGGCTGGGCATGGTGGTAAGTGTCTGTAATCCTAGCTACCTGACAAGCTAAGGCAGGGGCATCTTATGTTTGAGGCCAGCCTGGGCTATATGACTCTCAAAATCTGACTAACTAACTGGCAGGAGACTTGTATGTGTTGACCTGGAAATATTTGACAAATTGAGGGTGGGGTGGCAGGAAGGAATAGGACAATGAATATATGACCTCTTTATCAGCAAGAAAATATTTTATTTGCAGATATACTGAGTCACTGGGTATCTTTTCAGGGGAACCTTAGAAGACCATGGAATGGTGAGGGTTGGAAGAGCCTCATTTTAAACCTTCTTATACTGTCTTAAATTTTTGTTTTGTGTTTGAACCATGTGCACGCATCACTGAAAGTGTTTTAGAAAATACCAACAAGAGTTATATATTAGGCTAAGTGGCAATTTCATGTTTTTAATTTTTGTATAAGGAAATCAGATGTGCTACTGAGAAAAAAAACTGTTTCCAAATAAATGGAACACGCTAATTCCTCAGGTAGCTAGTACAATTCTACTTTTTTTCCTTCACTATTTCTATATACCTTTACAATGGGGTAAATGAGTTGCAACTTTACCTTTTTTTTGCTGCCACCACGTGACATTTACTGAGCATCTCTCATGTAGCAGGCACTGTCCTAACTCCAGGAAAAAACACTGGAAAAAGAGTCTCAAGCCTCTCTTGCTAGCAGGTGAATCAAAATACAAAGAGCATTATAATACAATATTATAATCACAGCGTACTATGAGAACACTGAGGAAGACAGTCTAACTCAGCTCAAGGGTGGGGACTTGGGGGTAAGAGGAAGCAAGGGTAGGCTTTCTGGAAAAGAGGACTGAATATGATCCTAAAGGAAACAGACCTAGAAAACACTGGTGGGCTTTATTTTTAACTATGTTAAACTAACAATTTTACTAAAAACGAGGGCAGGAACCTCAAAGGCTATCAACAGATTCCAGATAATATGTCCAATATATGTTTTGTCATGCTTATCAGATGACTGTAAGTTTGTTCTCTTTGTCTAGGAACTGAAGTTATATAAGCATGAGAAAATGACTATGCTTTTCTCAGCCTACAAGTTTCTTCTGTTGTGTATTCTCAATACCCTAGATTGTACACTCTTATTCTCACTTGCTTCTCAAGAAACCAGAAGACCAAAGTCCAGAGAAGGCTGAATATATCATCTCCAGTCTCATGTACTCATCAGTTCACCACTCTAAATGCCAAAATGGAAATAAAGGCCTAAAAAGACTTTAATGTTCAGAAATCTAAGTACAACTCTGTGGGACATCTTCTCAATGTCTCTCTTAAGACTAAAATTATTCCCATTTGTCAGTAAGGCTACTAAAAATACCTTCCCAGACCAAGACACTGGTACATGTAGCAAAGTGATGAGAAGAAAGGAAAAATAAACACTTAAGGGGGCAGCAGCTTTATGGGTATTTTTCAGGAGTAAACCAGCCTTGTTGGAGGATTTGTTATACGTTTTTTACCAAGTACAGTGAAAAATAAATTTAAAAATTCAAAAGAAATGTCAAAACCAAAAATTTTAAATTCCTGTACACACATTATGCAGGAAGAGTTCTCAGTCGGGTCTCAGAAATTTGACAGAACTTGGGAGGCAGAATGGGGAAGATGAGTCAAGTATCTACAGTACAGCACTGAACTCTATGCCTCCTGAGCATGTGCAGCTTTTCCTCAAAGGCAGCTTCCTTGAACCACAGACCCGGGGATAACAAGGGTCTACTGTAAATTTTATGAAACAACATAGTTGGCTTTCGGGGTTCAAATGGATTTCTATTCTCATTTTTTCACTCTTTCCTAATAGATACAACATTGGTCATAATGACTATTTCTCTATACTCCTGATGGGTCTAAAAACACATAACATATTCCATAGCATCTAAATGGTAATGGCCTAAAGGAAGACCTAAACTAAGATGCTCTAAAAAAATAATAAAAACGTTTGGATTCTATGAAGGCAGGGATCATGCCTGTGTTATTCACGGTCTCTGCTTTCCACCTGATGTAGCACCTTATACATAGTAAGTACTTATTGAAAAAAAAGATGACTATGCAACTACATCACCAATTAATAGCCTGGAATTAGCATGACTTCTATGAGAAAAGTTTATTTTAACTTCCTTGACTTCACTTTACTAAAAATAGTGGTCTCTCCAGTTCTTCAAGTTCTACTAGTTAATTTTTTATGAAGTGTGGCCAATGTGTCAAATCACAAACATGGTCTACATAGTGCTCACAGATAACATAAAGACAGTATGACACAGGTGGCCCAAGACAAGCTTCAGTAGCATTCCTGTCCTCTGATAGTTTATAAATAACTTGGAAGGTAGGATCCTCTACAGACTAATGAAAAAAAGCACTCCACAAATCTGAATTTTAAAAAGTCTACTCCCTAAATTCAACTGACAAAATTAATTCAAATAATCATCCAGGATTAAAATTATATACACATATAAGAATTGAAAACCATTGGCTCACCATGAAAATTCTAAGTTCCATGTCAATTATACATGTATTATTAACATCAAGTAATTATTTCACCACATACAAATGGCTGACACTTAAAAAAAGATTATTTCAAGGGAAAGATGACATCTCTCACCCCAGTCCCACCAAAACAAAATAACAACAACAACAACAACAAAACAAAGAAAAAGAAAGATGACATCTCCCAAATAGCAAAAATGTAGCTGGACAATTTTCAAAATGGAAAACCTGAAGTTTCTTCCCAGAAACTCCAGAGAACCACTCCATAGTTGGAGCTTTCATGTAGTACAATCTCTTAAAAGACTGAGGTGTATTCAGACTAACAGACTGAATGTCAGAATTAGTAAATAACATTTAGAAAATTCAAACTTTGAAAAAAGGTACAATTATAGCAAAACAAGTCAAAATTAGATTTTCCAAATTACTTAACCTGCAGGTTGGAAACTCAAGACAAGTTTTTTTTAATCCCAGAATCTCTAAACTTCAAGAGGCAGAATCTTTTTAATTAAAGAATCAGCTGTGTGGCTTCTTAATTTTCTACACTTAAGGAATGGCTCTTTCTAGTCAAGGTGCAACTGGGTTAAGCTACAGGTCTTTTTGGATCTTGTCTCTCTTCTGGTTATCAAAGAAGCAGAGCTGTTTCATTAATCTGTCTTATGTAATGAAGGGTAAAATTACTGCTTAAGAGCAACAATACACAGACTTTGTGCCTGACAGTGTATTTTTAAAAATATCTATTAATTACACTAAGTCTAGGTTCTACCTTTGCTATTAATGGAAAGGAGTACTAACTTCTTTCACCTTAAGTCTTTTTTGAGCAGCCCCAAATCTTAAGGGACAAATAATAAATTAACACTTAGCACTTACTAGATATTATACCAAGCACTGTTCTAAGCCCATGAATAGTACTAACTTACTTAAATTTCCATAGTCACCCCATAGCATACTTTCTATTTTTATTATTCTTTACTTTACAGATGAGAAAATTAACCAATCCAAAGTCTCACGGGAAAGGCTGAGACATTTAGTTATGTACAAATGCGACTTATAAGAGATAGCTGCACGTAGCAACAACTACAGACCAGAGAGGGCTACTTTGCCCAATAAAAATTCAGCATATATTTATTTTTAAATACACGATCAACTCCCTGGACACAAGAACATCAGAATTGTTCCTTTGTACCTTCCCTCTCCCAACTACCACGCCTCACCCCCTCCTCACTTAGGTTGCAGGTTCTTCTGATACAGCCCAGGAAAGGAAGGCAGAACTTAATTAACCTTCAGCAAGTAAGCAAACTCGCCTTTTCCGGCCTGGAAGGTAGTGAGTAAAGAACCCGTCTGGTATTTCCCGGGAACCGACATGCCCGACGGGCCAGCGGTGGGAAGGTCGGGTATCAGGGTTACCTTGTACCGAAGCGCCTGGTGGATGTCGGCAGCCAGCTGTCCTCGCCACCACTGCCCCTCCAGCTCCATGGAAGCCGGCGGCGCGCCCGACCAGACGCGGCGACACGAGTCTGCAAGACACGCCCCAGATGCGGTCACTGCCAGCGCCTTCCCCCGACCCCCGCGCCCGGGACCGGTGTGACTCGGCCACTTCACCTGACCTGTCCCAAGCCCAGCCCGCACTACCCGCTCGGTAGGCGCCAGCGTATTTGGGGAACTGCCCGGGACCAGGAAGGAAGGGATCAACTAGGGGAAAGCGGAGTTCGTCGGGTCCTGGGTTCAAACTCTCCCGCCCACGCTGAGGCGATGCGGGGACCTGACACCAGCCCGGCCCCGCTGGGGTGAAAAGCGCCCATTGAGAGGCCCGGGAGCGAACGTCCGCCGGGCAAGCTCCTCCCCGGGGTCCGAGCCACGCACTGGACCGCGCGGCCCCAGAAACGCGAACAAAAGGCCGGGCCGGCAGGGCTCCGCGCCTTGCCCCCAGCGGTCCGATGCCCGCGCCCAGCCCAGGCCTGCCCGGCCCCGCGGCGACTCCCTTACCCGGAACCGCGGTCCTCACAGCCCCAGTCCCGCTGGCGTGCGGGCGGCGCCGGCCCCGCTCATGCTGCGGACAGTCGGCCGCGAAGCCCGGGTCTCAGCTCCGGCCGGCGCCGGGGCGCTCGCGCCGCCCATTGTTAAAGGACCGGCAGACAGCTCGGCGTACAAAGCCAGCGCGGGGGCACATGCTGCCCCGCGCTGCCAATCTCGTCTCGCGATACAGCGGGGTCGCCAGAGCCGTCCAATCGGCGGCCTCGCCGAGGCCAGGTGCAGCGCCCCGCGGCTTCTCGGGGCTCGGCCCCCCACCCAGGCTGGGCAGCATCCCTGGCGGCCTGCGCTTGAGCTCTGGGAGCCTCGCTTCCATTGACACTTTCCGCGAACCCTGCCCGAGGTGGGCGGAGGGCGGAAGGCAGCGCCAGAGAAATTACGATGATCACTAGGCGGCTAATCTGGTCAAGCCACTCACCTGCTGAGACCCTTCCGTGGCTCCTCCGTGCCGGCACAGATTTAATCTGCCTTAGACCCTATCGCAACCACCCCACACTTCCCAGGGGCTGCTCTATGGGATCATCAGGCCTTACAAATGGGCTATAGTTGTTTCCCCAGCCTCTAAGCCGCTTTGTGAGATTCTGCCCAAATTCGCTATCAAAACCTATTCCTCTTCTAGAGACCTAATATCTTTTTTCCTGTAGAGATTCCCAGTAACTGAATAAAAGGAATTAACACTTTTAGTAACATAGCTTGTCAAATTCATAGTGTATGTAATTAACCGTCTGTGGTGGTAAATCAGGAAACTACAAAACTGTGGAAGCACCCCCAACACCAATTAAGGTGATGTTGGACCTGAAATGTTAGTGGAACTCTAATCAGTTGTATTTTAAAGCGTTTGGTGGACTACCACAAAAGAAATGGTGAGCCTAGGACAGCCATCCACTTTTTCTGAGACTATAGATGAACCTATTTTAATATTAAAACTATAAATCATGGGACCCCACCCATTTTACTTTGTTTTGTACAGAAAGACACAGGATGATAAAGAGCTCCTACAAAATGATGAATTCACATTACATGAGTCTGGAGTTTATTACAATGGCATATGCATACATATGCAGCAGATAGGTATGTGAACTATAGTCCAGCTATAGACAATGCTTATGTCCAGGAGAGCAAGACTACAGGAACCTATAACAAGGAAAGGGAAACTCAGAAGTGAAAGTTGGCAGAGCCTGCCTGGCTGCCCTGACCTGTATCAGTTGTAGGGGTTCCCTAGAGGGGAGATCGACACATTGGCTTAGATTTCCTTGTCATTTATAAGGATATTTAAGTAGTAGTTGCCTCTTCAGTTTCCAATTTGTGACTATTAAGCAACTTTATGACAATAATTTGGCTTCCAAATGTCTTAAAAGTCCATGGCTTATTTAAGAACGCTTTCAGAAAAATGGGTCACAGTCTATAATCATCAGTGTAATAAGCAGGTTGTCTCATGACTTCGACTTTGAAGATGTTTATTGAGAAAGATTTGTTCAGCAATCGTATATTTTCTGGATTTGCCTCATAAGACTTCAATGTTCACTCCTTTTAATGTCTATATATGTGTGTCTCTGGTATACTTTTGACTTTACATTCCTAAAAACACAAGTTTCAGGTTTATTATTTCTCTATTCCTTTAGAGCAAGCTGGATGCTTAATTCCTAAATAAAATAAAGTCTGCTTTCATAGAGTTTACATCCCTTAGGAAGAGGGGAACATAATACATGAGTAACAACAAAATCCATATCAAGTGTTGTGAAGAAAAATGAACAGAAAAAGAGGCTAGAAAGTGACTGTCAGCAGACATTGTCTTAGGACAAGGTGAGGTGTGCAAAGGCCTGAGGGAACTGGGTGAGCAGATATCTGGTGGTTGGATGTTCTAGATACAGGGAATAGCAAATACAAAGGCTCTAAGAAGAAAGCATATTGGAAACGAAAATGGAGAACAATTTATGAACGTAGTGAAAAAAAAAGATAGAAAAGGTATTCCAAATCTGGGAATCAGTAATCAGCAAAGGTATAAAAAGGATGGATGAAAAAGGCAGAATACGTATATAGAGCAGAGCATCATAACAGAATCCACTGAACTTGTATACGGCAGAAGTGGGTTTGGTAAGAAATGAAGATGGAACCAGATTCTCTGGAGAGCTATTGTAGCTCAATAAATGTTACCCAGTAGAAAGCCATTGCTTTAAAATTGTTTTAAAATGTTTAAATGAATGCATACAAAAGGTAAAACACTCAACAGAAGACTGTACACAGTGACTAGCAAGTCTCCCAGTTCTTCCCAGAGGCACCACTAGTACTATTTTTTGTACCCTCCAGAAATGGCCATGTCTTTATAGCCCCCCTGCCCAATTCTGTGCACAAATGGTAGCATATTTCATGCTGTTGTATGCCTTGGTTTTGTGATTCAATATATTCTAGTGAACACTGCACAACAGGATGTTCAGGGCTCCTGTCAATGGACCACATTGAATTCTACTAGATCAAAAGCACTGGGAACTAGAAGCCCTGAACCCTGGTTCTTGGTTCTTGTAAAAATTCCTAACTGTTGTACTGTTTGATTCACTGCAGTAACTATCATACCCACCATCATCTCTCATTTGGACTTGTATTAGCCTATTGACTGGTCTTATTGCCATTACTCTTTCTCCAAAATATTTGAAACCTAGCAGCTGGAGTAGTTGTAAAAAGGTAAATCACACCTGTTATGAACTTGATATGGAAGAGTTCTTAGATCACATTTCCAAACCATTTTAGTATAATGCAGAATGTTGAGGACATTTTCTTAGCCTATTTTCAAATATATATTTATATTCTGTAATTTATCAGAAGGCATTCCAAAATTTAAGCTACTACATAAGACCTTACTTCTAGATAAAATGGGTATGATAGTTACTTTTATGTTCATTTGACTGGGCCACAGGTACTCAGATATTTTGTCAAACATTATTCTCACATCTGTGTGTAAGGGTGTTCTGGGATAAGATGAACATGTGACTTGGGAGACTTAAGTAAAGCAGATTGCCCTTAGTGAAGTAGAACTACCCCCACTAGATGCGTAGTTCTCATCTAGTTAGTTGAAAGCCTGAATCAAATTAAGAGACTGACTCTCCCTCAAACAAGATGGATTTCCTCCTGCTGAACTTCTTTGAGCTAAGACATGGGTCTTTTATGACTTTGGATTCAAAGTGAAACATAGGCTTTTCTTGCATCCTGAACCTACCAGCTTTCAGATTGGAACAATATGTTGACTCTCCTGATTGCCAGCTTGCTGACAGCAGATCTTGGCACCTCTCAGCCTCCATGATTATGTGAACTAATTTCTTATTTTATATCTATATATCTGTATCTGTGTCTCTTATCCATGTATATACATAGATGCATATACAGACATACATGTGTGCATATATGGACATAGGCACATACACACATCCTATTGCTTCTGTTTCTATAGAGAACCTTAACACAATGGACTAAGCAAACTTCGTCCTGACTGTCCCACTGAAAACAGCTGTATAATCTGGACAGAGCTGGGTGTAGTAACTAGTGTCTTTAATCCTAGCACTTAGGAATCTAAGATGGAATATCAAGAGTTCAAGGCCAGACTGGGCTACATAGCAAGTCCTTAAAACAACAACAAAACCAAATCAAAATGAAATGAAACCAAATACCTGGACAAATTTCATGGAGAAGCTGTCTGAAAACAATGAAAAGTAGTAATAGGCAATTTTGAAGGACTAGAACTTGAAATATCACCAAACTAGCAGTGAGTTACCTACCCATTCTTTCTCTGTGATCCTCAGCCTGAAATCCAGAAACAGCCATTAGGGAAAGGGCAGAGAGGGCATTGGGAGAATCACTTTGGTCATGAGGAACAGGAAAGAAGTCTCCTCATGCTCACAGAGAGTGAAAGAATACCCATTTTCCCCTTCTCCCTCCCCTGCCCTCTCCTTCCCTTCCTTCCCTCACTTCCTTCCTCTCCCTCCTGACCCAGCACCCAAGCAATCCTGTGTGCCTGGATTCAATCAGTGTGAATGGAGTGTACAGGTGTCTATATCCTGAGGGAGGGAAGTTTATTATCTGGTCAGAGTGGCTGTGAGTGCTTTCCTCTTTGCCTTCCACAGCTTCACTCTGGATACAGGTACAATAGTGGGAAGTGTGTGGCAGAGTTGTAACTATGGCCCCAGTGTTATGGCTGAAGAACCAAATAAGGGAGCCCCGGGAACTGCAAAGTACTGGGGAGGTTGAAAAGAGGGATGAGTATAGGAAACCAATTTCACAAAGTGGTTATAAATAACTGGGCTTATTGTATGTGGATAGATCCACTATGAAAAGACCCAAAGCTTTGATTCTGCCCAAATCTCAAGGTGGCCACTGTATTAGTCCATTTTTCATTATTGTGACAAAATACCAAACATAGGCTACTTATGAAATAAAGAGAGGCTTACTTAGCTCACAGTTTTGGAGGTTCAAAGTCCAAGATTGGGCAGGGGGGACTGTGCATTGATTTGGCCTCTGGTAAGGGTGGTGGATGTCTGTATATCCTGGTGGAAGCATGTGTAAGAACAAATCACACCTTGAACCAGAACACATAAACAGAGACCTATGATCCTCTTCAAAGGCACACTCTCAATGACCTAAAAGGACCTTCTACTAGGTCCCACCTTTAAAGTTCCATAGTACCTCCCAATAGCACCAACCTGAGACCAAGCATTTATGTATGGACTTTTGGAGAATACACAACACCCAAACCATAGCGGTCACTAAGTAAAGTAGCACACACATGACAGATCTGACCAGGACTGAAAGGCTTTGAAAATGGAACTGGCATTGAAACTACAAGGTAGTCATAACTTATAGATAAACAAGACTAGGTTGATTCTTTGCTATACCAAAAAATATCAACATTCTCCATAATATTTAAGGGACAGATTTCCTAAAGTATAGCATACTCAAATTGCCTAGGTACAATCCAAAATTACTCAGCTTATGAAGAACAAGAACAACTGTCATGGGAAAAGATAATCAACAAACACCAACAACAGGATGACAATTTTCTGACAAGACTTGTAATGCCTCAAGGAAAGCAAACTTAAAACTGGAAGTGTGACTCAAGTGGTAAAATGATTACCTAGCAGCACTTTGTTCAAATCCCAGGACTGCAAAAAAAGGAAAAAAAAGAAAATTTTCTTGAAATGAATGGAAAGATAGAATGTTTCAGTGGAGAAATACAGCACACAGAAAATTAGATGGGAATTTATAAGGAA